TGTAATGGAATAAAGGAATGTGGTAGTGTATTTTTAATTAATTTTAAGGAAGTTTATTAAAATTTAAACTTTAGAAGAACAAGATATCTCATTTTAACCTAATAAAAAAGAAAAAACAATAATAACAACAACAACTACTACAACAACAATAATAATAATAATAATATCACTCCACTGTGTGTTTGACTGTTGATGGTGTTATGGTTAATGAAATGAGACCCTTCATCTATCATTTAGCCGACCGTCTCTCTGTCCAATGGGACTTACACTACAGTGTGACCATGAACTGGGTCTGAACTAAACTGTCCTTCGCTCTACTTTGAGCAACCAACTTATGTGTTTGCGGCACTAGATCTAAGTGGAGAGGGATGACTATCGAGGATGGGTTAGGCGTCAACCCATCTCTATTCTCTTATTAAAATAACAATGACTTAACTAAACTATTATTTTCCTACTAACTTAATTTTACCAATTCTAATACTTTATTGTTGATGTTCCTGTTGTCTGTTTGTTTTAATGATAAAATAATAATAATAATAATAATAATAATAATAATAATAATCATTCCAGCTCTCTTTGGTCAGGATTGTTCAAACACCGAAAGAATCTTATTTTCTCTCCCTACCCGCTCTGGTGGTTTAGGGATCCGTCTTCCCACTGAGTCTGCTGCTCTTTCTTATTCTACCTCTCGTTCAGCTACTCAGGTTCTAACTGATGCGATCAAATTTAATACTCCATTTACTCCATATGATCACATCTGCCAGGTCCATTTATCAAGGAGAGACCATTCTAATGTCATGAGGGAGGCTGATAAATCTACTTTCTCTAATATTCTAAGTCAGTTAGATACTAACCATCAAAGAACCATCCTACGTTCCAAAGACTCACTATCTTCATGGTTAAGCGTCCTACCAACTACTAAAGACAATTTTGATTTGTCTTGTACTGAGTTTAGAGATGCCATCTGCCTCCGTTATTCTAAGCCTTTGCTAGAGCTCCCTCCTAATTGTGATGGTTGCAGTTCTGAGTTTACTACTTCTCACGCTCTTGACTGTAAGAAGGGAGGCCTGGTGACCCTCCGCCACAATGAGGTTAGAGATCTACTCTGTGATATGTCATCATTAGCGTGGAGTCAGGTAGTGAAGGAGCCTGTTATTCGTGAGTCCCATGGTAATTGTGAAGCCCTGATTGGTGACATCTCTGCTCGTGGTATCTGGCAGTCTCAAGCTACAGCTGTGTTTGATGTCAGAGTCATTGACTCGGATGCTCCATCATATCGTCATATGTCCCCTAAAGCTGTCCTTAAATCTGCTGAAACTGCTAAAAAGAACAAATACTCCTCTGCCTGTGAGTCAATACACACCAGCTTTACACCCTTATGTTTTACTATTGATGGTTTGGTGGGTGTGGAGGCTAACACTTTCCTCAAGAAGCTGGCTGAGAGACTTTCCTTAAAATGGGATCAACCATACGGTCAAGTAATCTACTGGGTTCGTAAGAGACTGTCATTTGCTCTACTGAGGGCTACTGGCCTATGTCTCAGGGGTACTAGATCTAAGCTAAGGTCGATCCATTTTGAGGATGGAGCAGGGATCAGCCCTCATTCTAATGACTATTAATGACTATTAAATAAAACTCTTTTGTTCTCTAAAATTTATTATTATATTTTTCTTCTACTCTCCTTCTCTCTATATAAAATAACTTAACCTATTCTATTTTATATTTTTACATTTGTTGTCTGTTCAATAATAATAATAATAATAATAATAATAATAATAATAATAATAATAATAATCATAATAATAATAATAATAATAATAATAATAACAATAATAATAATGATAATTACTTGGTTGGTATCATAGACAATGAATTCATTATAGTTGAGTGTATATCCCCCAGTGTTAGTTAGCCCAGTATCAATGGGTGTTCCTAATGGTACCACACAGCCATCAGGACTGTGAGGAGAGAGAGAGGGAAAGATGGAGAAAGAGAGGAGGAGATGGAGAGAGTTAATAATTACAGAACCAAGAGGTGAAAGTGAAAAGAAAAAAGGAATTCCTTGTACATAGCCCCATCAAAAGTGTGCCATTTTGTGTGTAGAATTTTAGCAAAATATTCATGCATTTGTGGACTAAATTGTCAAATTTATGCATAACAAGCGATATAGTTTAATATAGTACGGTTTAATTCAGATTGCTATGGGCTGTATTGGCAGTAAATGGATCTAATATTATTTTTTGCTTATCAAATTATACACTGTACATGTACTGGGTACATTTGATATGGGTGACTGTGAGCATAATATACTTATCATGTATAAACCACTTACAGTGTGTGGTTGTAGGCAGGATTAGGTACCATCCTACCTTTACCATGGACACTCTGTGTTCCTGCTGGCAGCTTATCAGCATTGTAATCAGCTGAGAGTAACTCGTTAGGTGTCCCTAGTGACACCTAGCAACAAGATGGCTGCTGGAAATTGAAAGTAAGCACTCACTTCACTTAGTAGGAGGAGTCCTTCACTCCTTAAACGAGTAGCAAAACAATAATTGGCACTTTTTGAACACATGTCAGCAAAATATACTCCTTTACCAAACTACATTAAAAAGATAGTGCAATACAATACATGTACATAAAATTCAATAGGGAAAAATTTTGGAGGAAGTAAAATTTGGCAAAATGTTAAAATTTGGCAAAATGTTAAAATTTGGCAAAATGTTAAATTTTGGCTATTGGGAGATTTTAATTTGGTGAATTGTGGCCATGTGCCATTGAGCATGCGCATAATGGGTTAAAATGGCAGATTTTTATTTTGGCGAATTGCTATAAAAACACTAATTCACCAAATTTAATTCCTTCCAAAATTTCCTGCTATACATATGTGACCATAATCGACAAAAGGTACCTTATGGTGGATTTCTAAATTCATCATTATAATGGAAAATATCAACCTGTGAGTGCTCTGTGAAACAACCATTGTTACTAGTAGTTACATAACTTTTTGCATCTTTTGGAGTAATTTTATGATTGATGGAACTCAGGAAGGTGGATTTTTTAGGCTATAAAGACCAATTTTCCTATCCGCCATAAGGTACCTTTTGTCAATTATGGTCACATATAGTATTTTATGTAATGCTGGATTTTTTGAATTTTTTCATGAATCCTAAATTAAATTTAAATTATCTTAAAATTTAAACTCTTACTACAAAATAACTCTTAAAGTGTATAAATGTAAAATTCAAATTTTAAATTCCGAACTTGTGTATATGTACATGTAACTTAACCACACCCACTCCATCCTACCATGTATCCAGTGACTGGCGCTTCGGGTGGAGCAATACGAAGTCCTTGGCTGAGAATACCAACCCAGTTAGTGAGTCTTGATCCATGCCATAGCAACTGACGGTTGCCCACGTCTTTGAAATTCTCTTCTTCTTTGTCTCTCTTCACTTCAAAGATTTGTTCCACTTCCAATTTGAAGGTATTGTGCGTTTTACCGTGAGTCTGTGTTACGTATCTATGGGAAAGAAAAAAGAACCGTAGAAGTGGAAAATTTCATACTACCTTCATTATTTAATTTAAAAATTTTTTACATGTTTTTAATTTTACGGTTTAAATATGAGCTACATGTACATGTACATGTACTACAAATTAGTATAAC